ATGCTGGGCTTGGGGAAGGGCAAGAAGGTGGGTAGAGAAAGCAGGCTTCAGTGCTTCGCAGTAGGTGGGGCTGCATGCCAAACTGCTGCTGTCACTGGGCCCCTGGCAGCTTAGAAAGAATCCTGGGTTTTAAAAATGGTGACGAGGGACCAGGGTGAAGCCGCCGCCCAGGGAGGCGACCCCAGGCTGTGGGTGGAGCTTGGAGAGGAGGCAGCCCATAGCACAGTCCTGGCTCCCCAGCCAGAGTGGAGGGGGGCTGCTGGTCTCAGTCCCCTCCTCACAGACTCCAGCACATCCCAAGATCCCGAGTCTCCAGGCTGCAGAACAGAAGCGCTCATTCCCCCTGCCTTCTCTGCCTCCCAACCTGTCCCCCCCCCCCCCCGCCGTGCCTCCAGGATCTGATGACCCAGAACGGAATCAGCTATGTTCTCAATGCCAGCAACTCCTGCCCCAAGCCGGACTTCATCTGCGAGAGCCGCTTCATGCGCATTCCCATCAACGACAACTACTGTGAAAAGCTGCTGCCCTGGCTGGACAAGTCCATCGAGTTCATCGGTGAGGAGGCGGGCAGGGCAGGGGGGCCTGCTGGAGGAAGGCTGGCCTGAGGCCCTGGCCTTGCTCAGGCACGGGGGGCGGGGGGGGGGACCCTGAGGAGTAGCGGGGACTGTTGGTGGGGGGGAGGGCAGGGGCTTCTTCCTGGTGTGTGTAGGGGGGGCGGGGGGAGAGACACAAAAGTGCAGTCTCAGCCCTCACTCAGCTGGTTGCCCCCAGATAAAGCCAAGCTGTCCAGCTGCCAAGTCATCGTCCACTGTCTGGCCGGCATCTCCCGCTCTGCTACCATTGCCATCGCGTACATCATGAAGACCATGGGCATGTCGTCGGATGACGCCTACAGGTACCCTCCGAAACCCTGGGCCCCGTCATGCATCCTCCCTCCCTCCCTCTCTGCACAGGTGTGCCCCAACCCGGTGCCCAGATGGGAAGAGGGGCACCCGCGCCCCGCCCCAGACAGGGCTGTGTGCGTGTCCGAGTTGGGCAGAGCGGTTTGTGGCCAGCCGGCCTGACTGCCGTGCCTCTCCAGGTTCGTGAAGGACCGGCGCCCCTCCATCTCCCCCAACTTCAACTTCCTGGGTCAGCTGCTAGAGTATGAGCGGAGCCTGAAGCTGCTGGCCGTCCTGCAGGGAGACCCAGAGCCCCTCCCGGGCCCGGCTGCGGGTGTCCCGCTGCCCCGGCTGCCCCCATCTACCTCAGAGAGAGCCGCCACGGGGGGCACCGCCGCTGGGGCAGCCGTGGAGGGCGGCGGGGAGGCCGTGGCCGGCCCCCCGGCCACCAGCGTGCTGCAGCAGGGCCTGCGTGGCCTGCACCTCTCGGCCGACCGGCTGCAGGACACCAACCGCCTCAAGCGCTCCTTCTCCCTGGACATCAAGTCGGCCTACGCCCCGAGTGGGCAGCCCGACTGCCCCGGGCCCCCGGACCCCGGTGAGGCCCCGAAGCTCTGCAAGTTGGACAGCCCGTCGGGGGGCGCGGCCGGCCTGCCCTCCCCGAGCCCGGCCGACAGCCCCAGCCCTGGCCCGGAGGGCTGCGCTCCGGAGGCCCGGCCCCGGCCCCGCCGGCGCCCGCGGCCCCCTGCCGGCTCCCCGGCGCGCTCCCCAGCTCACGGCCTGAACTTCGGGGACACGGCCCGTCAGACTCCGCGCCACGGCCTCTCCGCCCTGTCGGTGCCCGGGCTGCCTGGCCCCAGCCAGCCATCCGGCCCCGGGGCCTGGGCACCGCCCCTGGACTCCCCGGGCACGCCGTCCCCCGACGGGCCCTGGTGCTGCAGCACAGAGGGCGAAAAGAGAGCAAGAGGCGCCCCCCGGTTCCCGGC